CCTTAATCTCTGCTTTAATATATTATATAGGTACGTGTTAATTTCTTTTAAGATCAAATATTATACATATTATAAATTAGTTTCACTTCTCTTAGGCTCGATCTTAAGCTCGATCCTCTTTGCAAAGTAATTTGTCTAAGCTCCAAGATACTGAAGTGATGTGTACTTTAGGGCCTTTAAGCTACAATGTACTACCATAATGTGCTCTTTAATGCCTATCAGTTCTGAGATATTATTGTAAAGTGTGCTTCCATGTTCTATATTAGTATTGAGTTCTTTTAAAGTTGTTTATCTAAATGTTATACTAAGCCGTATGTTTGTTTTGCGTTAAAGATTATTTTCTAGAGCCACATTGCAGATCTCAGCTAAAGATTGTCGCACTATAGAGCGAATCTAAACAGAAGTCATAGATCACTTCCGGTTCGTTTAGTATTAGTCTAATTTTATGGCATCATAAACACAATGTCACTTTTCAAAGTCAATTTAATTTCTGTACATTAATATACATTTATATAGCCTCTATTAAATTTCTTAACATCTCGTATTCTTTTAGCATTTTTGACTCGTGTTTTCAATTTTTCTTCCTTGACCTTCCATTAAAGCCAAATATTTTGCCAAAAAGTGAAAAAAAATTAAGTTTAAACAAAAATCTTCTGGAGTATTTTTCATGCCGCTTCGGGACATATAATGCTTTTATGTTATTGTACTTCAATATTATTTAATAATGTTTTTAAGCAATATTAACTTGAGGCTAATTTCATAAAAGAATCTTGTACTCGTAACTTGTGTATGTAAAAATTTTCGCCTAAGAATTTGTCAATATTATTTTAAAACATCAAGTGAAGTGATTTTTCACATGCCAAAAAAAAAATATCTTCTGTAAACATGCGCCAGATTCTAAAAAATAAAATAAAAAAAATTAAAACAAAATGTAAACATTTAAAAAATTAATGCCGTAGGTCCTTTGATATTTTGATGATTTTATTAGTAAATCAAACTGAATGTAAACTTAAAAACTTAAATAATTACCTTTATGACTACATCACTTAAGTAAATAATAATAATTGAGAAGAAAGTTTTTTTACTAAAGAATTACAAAATATTTCTTTGTAAATTAATTTTTTTTAGTTCATTATTATTCAGTTGATAATTGTTGTTATAAAAGCCAATTAATGATAAAACTTTTCTTATTTAGAGATGTTATATTATGAAGAAATGGAGTTAAAAGAATATATTGCTAATGTGGAATTGTGGTGACATCCCAACCTTTTAGAAACAAAAGATGAAATCTAAAAAGGTAGGGATTATGTCAAACACTCCTCTAAAAACTTAAATATATAGGTTCAACTAAGCCTTTATTTGAAGATCGTCGACCTATTGCCCGATTAGAAATCAAGACGAAAACAATTTACTATATATATTTATTATCTAGCGTGCCTACATTTAGAGCCTATATGACATCTGCAAGTCCACTACTTCAAAAAAGTTGTGAACTTATCAGATACAGCAAAGTCAAAACAAATCAGTAAAAAGAACATACTCTAGGGAAGAATAAACCCAAACAGGGTTAAGGAGGCACATGATATCCATCGCATTGTGAAAGTTAAAAGGAACAATTTACACTAAATATGTATTACTACGCTATAAATAAAATAATGTCTGTAAATCAAGACCTTCACTCTCAAAACTCTTAAGTCCAATCAGCGTTTATAAAAGAAAGAAGACAATATCCTTAAATATATTCTTACGTTATATGTTGGAGTTGGAGTTGCGATAATAAGAAGAATAAATTATAAACTGATTGGAGTATTATGGAAAACGTCGGGGTTTTGTTCAAACCCAATAGAAGGGACTGAAAAAACCTAGAATGTTTTTAATACATAGAACTTCTTTGAGGTTCAAGCGAGATACATTATGGGTACACAATGATAGATATGCTGAGCGGATTGCACTTGGAAATAATAAATTTCTAAATATAGTGACAAAATTTTCGATTTCAAAAAAAGCAAGACAGAATCAATGCTAGCAAGCACATAGGTTAATCCATACCTTCAACCATTTCTGCATATGTATATTAGAGTTCTGATTCCGTAATATATGTTATGGTTCTTTAAATATATAAATAGCATGTATTAGCTATAGATGTTGCCTAGGTCCAACCTTACGTGAATCCATTAGTGATCGATAATTGATTTTGTCAAAAAATTAAGTTTTACAGGCAAGCCTAGAATCAGAGAAATATTTGATCCATTTAAAAACTATACTTATCTAGTAACAAATAAAATCGAAATTTTTCTTGATTTTTCTTCATGAAATATTAGAAAACATGGATGAGAACATCAAGAATGAAATATTCTAAACGGTTGAATCAAAATGCATTAGCTATAAATATCAAATTTAATGGAATTTAAAAGTCAATATTATTTTATCATATCAAAGGCAAGAGTCCACAGTTTCTTCACGTTATTACCTGCCTATTAATGCTCAACATCATATTGCACACATATCGGTACAATGTAGTGATAATCTCCCCTATGAAAATTCCATATATATAGAAGATAATCGCATTCTCCTATATCTTCCATATCTATATATTTATTATACTTAAGTATATTATAAATATGTAGTATCCTGTATGAATTTTTATTAATTAAAATTTGTCTAATTAAAAATTTAAACTATTTTTAGAAAAACTTTAACTTTCTTTCGTGAAAGTTAAAAGTTAATTTACACTTAACATAAAATTGCGATATTACTTCAATGAACTGGAAATTTATAGTTTTTCTTAGTCTGTCAGATTGAGTTTTTGACTGCAGACTCGTACATAGTCATTATCACTAAAATGTAGTAAAATCACTTTACTAGTAAATTCCCTAACTAAGAGGGGAGTGGGTGGTATAAATACAATACGTGTGAGTACTTAAACAATTTATTACACACCTTTCCATACTTTATGTACAACTCAGATGTGCGAGCAAATGTAAGTTATGCATATGTACACAAACCAATATAAATCTCTATTTACCGGACAGCTAGTAAACATATCGCCCGTAAAATAGTCACACAGATACGTCCGCATATGTGTTAGTGCATTAATGTTGAACACAAATTACATTTAAGTAAGCGTAAATCTAGTTTTAACACATTTTTTTATATTCCGGATATGTTGGCATGATTGTTGGGTTTTTACAGGCATTAACAAACTCTAAAAATACCATAAAATCCGATGTAGACGAGCTTAAAGACGCACAAAAACGAAGATTTATTCACGGAAATAATGCCAACAGATATTAAAATAGTAATGGCCATAAAAATTCGTAAGAAACTTTGCAAAAAACTGTCTGTCGCACGACTTAAGTGCGATAACCGTCAGTACTGGAGCACAGGTTAATACCAAAGTTTTGGTCTAGGTAAGTGCGCAATGCGATATGTTATTATCCTGTTAGACCAACAATGTAACAAATCTTGGCAAGTTCACAACTTTCAAATTGCTATGCATATATATATATATCAATCGTTTGTAGTTGTTTATGTGCTTCGTATTTCGTCAATAATTTTAGATAAACATATATGGAGTTTGTTATAAATACCGATTTTATTTTGAAGGTGTTTGAAGAGATTCGCCACTGCAAGGATTCAAAATATGGATATATATAAGAACTTCAAAATTTACTTCAAATAAGGTTAAGTATATTATCGACTTAACTCTTTATTTTAGAAGCGCCAAAAAGTATACAACAATAAGATGTGCGACTGTTATATGGCAGGTGATGATCAGAAGCAAACCATCACAATCTGAAAAAAAGATAGAATAGCACGAAATGAAAATTGACAGCTAGACTGATAGCCATTATAATCACCCGGCTCAAGCGGAAATCGGGAGATACAAATTACTACCTCACTCAGATGCTGAAACGACGTGAGTAAGTATCTGTACTTAAAAGCGGATCAACTCAGAGGAAAAGCGGATCAACTCAGATATTTTTATTGTGACTAAGACTGTGACGACACAGAACACTCTTTCTAAGAGATACAAGTCTAGATTGACTCAATAAATCCCGCAAATATTATTAAAAAGAGAGTGAACCCGGACAATTGACGAATGATAGAGTCATAAGTAATTGAAATTCTCAAAATGAAGAGATTAGAACTACAAAGGAAAAGCAGAAACTAGGCAGACACCGAAAAAACCAGTATAAACGTGATAGTCTGGAAGTAGATCGCAAATCAAAAGAACATGGTTTAAAGTGCCCATATAAGAGAAGAAGTTTATTTCCATAATTCCCTGAAGAAACCACTTGTAGATACACGTATTTTGCAATTATGAGGTCTTTTTGCAATCATGACGTCTTCACTTTGCATTAATATACAATACTTTTTTTTATTTAAGTGACTATATGAATTGGACAAAATTT